AAAAAAAAAAAGAATAAAGAATAAAATAGGCCAAATACTGATAGGATGAGAATTTGGACTTAACTTCTTTGGAAATAGAATTTACAGCTTTCTATGACTTAAAGAGAATAATGTTCCCCAAAGTTCCATTATTAAAGGTTTGGGTTCCAGGGTGGCAATATTGGTGGGTGTTGGAACCTTTAGGAATAGGGGACTAGTCTGAAGTAGCTACAGCATTTGGAGAGGCATCCTTAGAGTGACTGTGGACCTTTATGCCCCCCCCCGTTTTATTACTTATGATGTAAGTTTACTCTGTCATGAACTCCAACATGTTGTGCAATCTTCATCAAAGGCCCAGAATCTCTGACTGGACACTCCAGTACTGTAAACCACAGTAAACTTTTTCTCTTTATAAGTTAACTGCCTCAGCTATTTCATTATAGTAATCTAAAGCTAACTAATCCACAGAAATACTGATTAAAGAAACAACATAAATTTCCCACCTATATTTAAGAATTAATTTTTTTAATTTTAAAATTACACAAGTACATTGGGGTATTTGGAAGCTAAGAAAAATGAACAAATAAGCTATTTTAAAATTCTAGTTGAGAAAACAAAAGTTTCCACATTCTATGTTCCACAAGATGGAAAAAATGTATTTGGGAGAAGAAAAATATACCTTCTATCAGTAATATACAAGGTTCCAGTGAAGCAACTGAAATGACAATTAGGTCCTTCACATTCTATTTTCCCAGATATGCTTAATAATTGTTTTTCTGTTTGCACTCCAGCTGTTTCTGGTAAAGCCTATAAAATAAAACCAAAGGAGGAAAAAAATTAAAAATTTAACGTACTATGGCAAAGTTCTAAATTGCTAACAGTTAATAAAAATGATGAAAATATCTAAAATGATATGCATCATACTTTAATATACCTCAGAAGACTTTGTGACTGCAATATTTTGCAAACAATTTTAATAAAATAAGACATGAGAAAACTCTCATCACATATACTGACAATATCACTCATTAAAGTACAATCATCATAATCAACAGCATTTATGTATGTGGCTAATAAGGCTGACCTATATGGATAATGAGTAGCTAGGATCTAGAAAAGCAGTCCCAAACTTTTGCATGCATCTTATTCATTAGAGAGGTCTAGTGAAAAGCAGATTGTTGGCATCCATCCTCAGGCTCCCTGCCAACACTGTATCTTTAAAGGTTCAGTACCAGAATT